GGTGTTCTGACTGATTTCCTACAACGTGAATACGCTGCTGTGTGTAGTTAACTGCATCAATACGCAAAAGACCAAATAAAAACAACAATAAGACTTCTATCATAATGGATATAAAGACTTTGTATGCTGTATAAATTTAGACAGGCACAGATAGTTGGCGTCTGACATGCACTAGTACAAACTCACCTTTGCGATGATTTTTCCAAAAGGCCACAAAACATATCGTGCCATCTGAAGGCAAAAATGACCTATAAATAAAACTTCCAGATGTGATTTTCGAAGCAATGAAATTCAGTTCAGTACAATGTTCAATGTTGAACCCACAAAAATGGGTTATATGCACGTGCGCAATAAAATCTGTCGAACCAAAATAAGATGACGTCACTAATTGATAAAGGTGACGTCATGTTGTCCTGTTTACGTCATTAACTCCTGTTTCCTTTTCTGAACTCATGCATCAATTTAGACTGTTAATAAACAAGTAATGTTGAGAACTCACTGTATCTCTTCCCTATGATGGTAACTCTCATCAGCCAACCAACGAAAATATAGACGACCGCCATCCACCAACCGAAGAATATCATGTACAGGAAACTGCCCAGCTTGAGGCAGAATGTTTCTGTAAAGACAGCAAGCCATAAATTTTTTTCAGCCTATATATTATGTGTAAAGGATCGTACAAAGGACACTGATCATAATTTCCAACATTGTATTAACAGTTAACGAAATAATTTAATACTACTCACCTCCCAGTTCAATTCCCAATGGTTCTTGAAAAGCTTGTTTGTCCACAACTTCTTTCTTCCATTTCTTTAAACCAAACTGAAAGAAAGCATAGGAACAACGTGCATTTACCTTAAATATATATTTATACTGTACAAAGGCAATGTTCGGGAAGAATATCATCATCTGTTGTCGCGTGATAGAAAAGGCAAAAGGTGTACATGTACATGTACGCTTGAATGGCACTGTTGAATAAAAAAAATAGCAGAAACAAGTGAATAGCTACGTCATCGATGATTTTCGTATTAGTAGCTTTTATTTACTTTCTGTGGACCCACTCCCCTACATTCTTCAATCCCAATCGCCTCTTCGTGTCCAAACTATTTGCTTATTGCCAATAGTATAACAATGTATCTTTACTCATTCAATAATCATTCTCTAAAATTCACTATTTTTTTCACTTTTTTATTGCCCATAGTAACAATGTGCCATGTGTTTCTACTGTAGTTATTCTCTATTTTCTTCAACCCCAAGACGTCCCCTGTATTTCTACTCACCCTGTAGTTATTTTCGATCTTCTTCACCCCCAAAACGTCCCCTGTATTGTTACTCACACTGTAGTTATTCTCGATCTTCTTCACCCCCCCCCCAGGACGTCCCCTGTATTTCTACTCACCCTGTAGTTATTCTCGATCTTCTTCACCCCCAAGACGTCCCCCTGCTCCCTGGCCTCTTCCATGTCCACTTTGTCCACGTCGTGGTACATCAAACTGTCCAGTAACATGGTCGGGGTGGTCAGTCTTGAGGACAGGGGGGCAGCGTTCCCGAACTGCGTCTCATCCACTGAGTCGTCTTCTGTGGTAGAATCCGCGGAGACAACGGGAGCTCGATATGAATGGTAGGTTTTCATCTTTATTTTGTCTGGCAGTCAAAAACCAGGAAAAACAGGAGGTAGAATGAAACTGGTTTAGAAAATCTTTTTAATTCTTTGGTAAAGTTTTATCTAGAAGAAAATGACACTTGTTCTGGGATTTTAAGTTTAATTCTCAAATGTCTTAATTAAATGCTAAAACGTCTTTTTTTCACATGGAACGAAACCGAAAGTCGCAAATCGAAAGCTCATAGGGAATATTAAATTGAACCAGTGGTAACGGGACTTCTAGTAACTCATCTCCACGCGCACACTGTCCTTCCAGACTGATGCTAAAATCGGTTGAATGATAATTGTTAAGAACTAGAATACACCTTGGATTTTTTTCCTTTTGCTAATTAATTGTCTCGTGTGATAACTAAAGACAGTTCTAGATCCGTAAGCAACTAATGGCTGTGTTCTGACCTTGTCATCCCAGCCCTTAATTCTTAATAAAATAAAATAAAAATACCATAGTCTTTGTTTTACAAGTGCTTACCCATTTCAGCTCAATAATCAAACAGTTCAAAAGTAGTTGTCGTCCTTTTAGAAATATCCCGCAGCAGATGTCTTGTACGTCTTGTAACGCTTTGAAGCTACTTACATTATCCAAGATCGCTAAATTAATTTTGGCTTCAGCGCACAATTAAGGCGTTCTATAAATGCAACAAGTAAACAAGACTGGTACGTGATATACACCTAGAAGGACATTAGGGGTACCGCCTACAGTATGAAGGGTAATACATCTAGTATTTATCTTACCATGACACGAATGACAGATGTCACTGTCGCTGGTTCCGTGGTACCGAGCGTCATGTGACACGTGCAGTCTGCACGCGCTGTTTTATACGATATTTCACTACAAAACCTCCGGCTAAGTTCCCATTCATCACCCACAGCTGTAGACGCCTCTTCTTGGTCGTTTCTTCCCCTTCTTTCTCCGGCTGATACGCCATATTTCATGCCATTTTGTCAAGTGTTATACAAATCAATAACCGACAAATTATGTTCGTCCCTGTTAACATTATCTCACTCAGTTTCCTCTCTCATTTCGCTTCTGATGCTTCCGACCCGTTTATGTCATCAGTTATCTACTTTGGAAGTAAAAATGTTCACCGTTTAGCGTCGTCTTCCATTGTCAAAGCATTCGACCGACATTGTCCACACATCAGCTATCTCCAATACAAGTGTTGCCGTGACCGTACCGTATTCGTAGAAAACAAGAAAAGCGTTCTTGAAGTGCATATATTGTATCTCGCTGAATTCCGTAAACTGCAGAAAAACTTATAAAAACTTATGAAAAACTAGTGAAAACTTCTGGAAACTAATAAAAGTTTATGAAAACTGATATAAACTTATAAAAACTGATGTAAACACCATGGACCGGGGAGACCGTGTCGCTGAACTGAACGAAAATGTCAGGGCGGGAGTTCAAATATATACACAGGTGGAGCAAGTCATGTGACACGTGAATACTTCTCGCTACGCAAAATACTCCAACCAAACTCTAACATATATCACGTGTTGCAGTTACAAGTACTTGTTATTTGTGTCTTTGTCGTTCCATATTGGGATTCTAAATCAATAAATACGATTTTTTTATGCAGATACATGTAATACTTTTTTGATGCTAGGAAAATAAACAGTATATTTTAGAAGATAAAGTGTACTTTATTCCAACTATATCCTAATTTACCCAATCATAAACAAGAGATCTAGCTGATCGACTTTAGTTTGTAAATTTATTACTTCACAGAAATTATTCAGCCCATAATGCATTAGAACTGAAGATAGTCTTGAGTTACAAAACTTAGTTAATTTTTGCAATGATGAAAGTGAAGAAAATCCTTTTTTTCTGATTTTTTTATTTTATCCCAGTCAACTGACTCAATCCTGTGTGAAACCTTTACCAAATTCTGTAGAAAACCTTGTTTGTAAAAAAAAAATAATTTCTCCATGTGTAGGAAAAAAAATAAAGCTGTCAAGGTTAAAATATCAGAATTAGTTATTGCTCTTCAAAGAGAAAGTCTAGATGGTCTTTATTTTCTTCTCAGTGAAATCGATCCAAACACAAAAAACCACGAGTAACAAAATGCATAAAAGTAATAAAAAATTGTATGATTTTTTTATTTTAAAATTAATATGCATATTTATATGCTATTGATATGTATTTGATTGCATGTTGTAAACATAATATGAAACAGAACTAAACTGATAATCAAAGATGTCTGTAGATGAATATTTTTGTCACCATCTTCCATATATAGAAGAAATATGACTAAATTACCATAGTAAGAAATTGATACATTGTTAATATACAAAGGAAACAATTTATCCAGTTATCTCACCATAAAGTGCATATTTTAGTGCTGAGTAAGAAAAATAAAGAAACAAAAGAAGTAAAAATAAAAAGGAATAAGAAAATAAGTCACATGACATGATATAATTTGCTTTTGGTCAATCTGCCTAGCCTATGAAAAATCCAAGATGGCGGCATTCCATGAGGCATACAGAAATCCAACTGATACTTTCAACATTTGATAATCTATTTATTATGAATGGGATATGCAAATTTTATGAAATTTAGTTAACTGATGCAGAGATGTATAAATATAATTTTCATGGAAACATAATAAGTGTATGAGTTAAAAACCTAATGATACAAATATATTTATCTTAATTTGCTAGTAAATTCCCATTGATTCCTATGTAAAATTATAAAATAATCGATGTTCAAGCAGCCCTGGCTCAAAAACAAGCGTGGTGTGGTACATATTTTTTTGTAAATTTCTTTGAGGTCTACCAAGATCTATAACATATCCACATAAAATTAAAATCGCTAGGGCAGAATTTTTTATTTTTGCATTTTTCAGCAAAATTAAGGGCATTTTGGCAAAATCCCCATATAACGCAATGTAATAAACGTAGCGTTTTTCGGGACGCCACCTCTCGAAAACGAGCGTGGGGACCCCCAATTTTTTTTTCATATTTTTTACTCATATGGTAAGAAGATTTTGTCTTACGATTTTAATCAAAATCGCTAGGGCAGAAATATGAAATCTGAAATATGAGAGGGCGTCCTTAATTATAACAAAGAGCAGCAATTTGTCGTGTCTTGTAGTGACCGGGCGGTATTTCATTGCCAGCCATCGGTCCTTCCAGATCCCCTCCCCCCCCCCTCGCCCACTCCCCGTCATTGTGAGAAGCAGCATAGCAGTTTTACTAATACACGCTAATACTGGTCAGATATGTCAATACTTCACACGTCATGTTATGCTCGATAGCAACTACTTATGTAACCAGTTCCTTTGGTGATTATCATGTTTATTTTTTCTAAAGTAAAACAACTGTATCCCTACTTTCTTTAAATATTTTATTGACTCAAAGTCTGGAAGTGAAACTGTAAATATATTTACATACTCATGCCATTACCATAAAACGTTTCCAAGTTGATTTTTATCATTAAAATGTATCACAATATAAAAACATGGACCAACTTTACTATCCCTCAAACTCGGTTCACTGTCAACTACCGGTATGTACACGTAGGAGTATACCCTGAAATCAGTACCTAGAATATATCACAACCGCTATCTACTCGTGCAAGTTTTGATAATATATCACCCAAAAATGTCACATATTGTATAATAATGACCATGGCCAACTTAAATATACTTTCTCTAGGTCTAAGATATTTGAGCAATGTTTGTATTTCAGTTTATCGAAAGACATAGCCAACGTAACAGATATCAAATTATTAAAGCATCCCTGTCTTACTTAAAACGTATATATCCTACAGTAAATAAACATAATCTACCGCTAACAGAAACAATTCAGTGATAAATAAAGCAGATGCATATTGTAATCGGCCGTAAAGTATTATAAAGTGGATATAAAAGAACGTTAACACGGGTCTTACACCGAACGTCACACAGATCAATATCGTTGTTTCGGAAGATCCATAAAGACCACTGATGAACCAAACACGTGTTGAAAAAATCTCAATAGTTCTGAAAAAGTTCGTGGTGAGCTTTAATAACAGAGCAAGTGCGAGGATAAAATAAATATCTTTAGCAAAACACACATATACAATAACAGCTTCATATTCTTCGGGAACTCACCAAGTTCCCTTAATGTCAGTGGTAACCAGTGTTCTAATACAATATAATTCAATCAAAAATATAGGTGAAATTATCAAACCACTTCTTTAAATATCAAAATTTTCAATTTTAAAATATCTACACTGAATACATGCCGTACATTTTCTTAATATAAACAGCAATAAAATAAATAATACTTCTCAACTTAAAATAACTAATGCCCATGATAATATAAATTTGATTTTTTAAAACATTTTACAAATATAATCTGTACATATTTAAAGGTAATCAACGTAACAGAAGATAAGCTGATACATAGCACACATAAGAAGAAACATTTAAACAAATAATGTATTGTAAGTGCCATGTACAGTATCAATATTTGTTCATCCACAGCTGTAAAGCATATTCTTATTAACACTACCATAAAACAGAAATATTGCACAAATAAGACAAGATTGACAAATGACATTAATGTAGCAGCTACAGCAGATTTTTTTGTAAACAGTAACCAAAGATCATGACAACATACAAATCTCTTCAACAAGAGAAAAACATCTTTAAAATTCATCGTTGTCTCTCGTTTTAAAGTCCAAAATCAATATCCATACTCCTTAACCAAGAAATAGGATCAATTAAAAGATTTAAAATATTAAAAGAGAACAGTATCACTCTTACCCTGAAAGCCAATAGTGTAATATTTGAAACTTGTACAATTATCATGCTAAAAACACAACCTAATACTTGCTCTAATACTCTTAATATAAAAATCATAGAACACCTTAACCATTACAAATAACTGTCAACAATAGTAACAAGTTAACATGGAGTTCACAACCAGTCACAACAAAACATAACACAGACAAGAGCAGCAGTGAGAGAATCTGTGAAGCAGACCTCAGTACAAGCACCAGTTTTATAATAATCAGGGCAAGGTGTGGTCAGGTCAAGGTGACCCAGATCAAAGTGACCAAGGTCAAGGTGACCCAGGTCAAGGTGAGGTCAGGTCAAGGTGACCAGGTCAGGGTGACCCACACACCTCGTTGCCAGCGGGGGAGAAGAAGTACATCAGTATCAGCAGGACGTACACCATAAACAACGCTGAACCTGAAATCAGATAATTGAGAACTTAACAGCAAGGACAACACATTAAATAACTTTCAAATAAATGGAAAGCAACTTCAGTTTTATAAATGTGTGATACTCTCAATACATTGATATATCGATACATTGATTTTTTTGTACACAATAAATTGTATATAATTAATATTTAAGATATCTGATTTCCATATTGTTAAAAACACCCCTTAGAATTATTCTTGAAGTAATACTAGTATGTATCAAATTAAATCTTGTCAAAAAATGACAAACTGGGGCACAACAATATGTTAAAAGAAAGTTCACCTTGGAAATAATTGGACTTTCCATCTTGGAAGACGTAGTTCATCACAATAACTGAGAAAATCACAGCCCAGAGGTGAAGGTCACTAAAGATGAGGTAAAAGTCTACCGGCTGAAATAAAAGTGAAACCAAACATATATAACTCAGGTTGATGATAATACTCGTAAAAATACTCTAAAAATTGCCAATTTCTACATGTCTTGGCAGTTACAGTTCTTTGGATCACACACAGAAGAAAACATTAAGATTGTTAAGTCCAATTATTGTCCTGTAAGAGATCAGGCTTATTAAGACCTTAGTCGAGATATGTTACAACACAAGTCGTCCACTGTATACAACATACAAGAATGTAATTACATTGAGGTGCGGCAAACAATAGGATGAACACACCAAAAAATATGGAAATGCAAGCTAGCGTGTAAGCCAAATACATGTGTAATTATCCGATTGTTTAAATAATATATATGTGACATTACGTATATTAAATTCCAATATTTCTTCAAGCTGTTTCTATACTCACATAGATGAGGTCCAGCAGTACCAGAAGAGGCATCTGAAGCATGCAAACTTGAACTGCAGTGGTTGTTCCCACCTCAATACTGTAATATAATATAATATAATATAATATAATATAATATAATATAATATAATATAATATAATATAATATATACTTTAGGTCATAAAAGGTTTTACCAGGGTGCTGCTGATAGTCTTATAACACCAAGGTTTGACAAATTTAACAAAACTCCAATTAATTATCATTGAAAATGACCATTGTACTAAATCTGGGTAGAAACTGCATGCAACACACCAAACCAAATCATTAATCGATTTCTTTTTGCTTTATAAATCTTATACTAGTACTTAATTTTTTAGTTAGTTTCTCCTCACCTAAGATTAACATTATTCTGCAGTGCAAACTGTATCCCGTTGACCACCTCTGGGATATCAGGGACCAGAGCTAGCAGGGTGACACCCAGGAAGTACTGGAAGGAGACAAAGGGGAACATATATATATATATATATATATATATATATATATATATATATATATATATAGCATGGATACTGAAAACTTGTGTAAGGAAAATCTGAACATGTGCCAGAGCAAGACCTCCTCTGTGATATATATATATATATATATATATATAGATAGATAGATAGATAGATAGATAGATAGATAGATAGATATAGTCAGGGATGGATTCAGAAATATTTTCTGACAGTCTTCCAAATGATCTTTGTTGATCCATCCTCCATCTTCCGTCAGAAAAAATTGGATACCCGTCAATGTTAACATGAAAATCTGACCGTCTTCCGGAAGACCCTGTGAGTACTTACCAGTGATACTGAGGAGTTTTCTAGTACAGGTTGTATGTGTTCCGTGGCAATGTCAGCACTCAGAGAGGTCAGTATAACAGAACACAGCAAGATAACTGTGCTTTTAATTCTCCCCCAGTGGACATCTGTACCATGACCATCACCTGAAATTTATAAAAAATTATCAAAATCTGGAAAATTTTGTATATGTAGCTTTAAATCTTTCTTAATCTCTAATTTAACATTTCAGCTTCTTGTTTTCACACTGATTAGCAAGGTATTTACAAGATCTGATTAGTAATCATAAGCTTATGCTGTGATTAAAAAGATACTTTGATCACATTCACAACGAGTTGAGCCAGGCTTTACAAATCCTGGGGACTAAATATGGCAGACGTACATGAAAGAAAAACAGCCTAAACTTTTAATAGTCTCTCCGCCTCTCACACGCCTCCCCACACGTCATCCCTGCGGGGGGACAGTCATTGAATCTCGGCTCCATTGGGACGACACATGGGGAGGCGTGTGTGAGGCGGAGAGACTATTAGGCAGTTTTTCTTTCATGTATGTCTGCCATATTTAGTCCCCAGGATTTGTAAAGCCTGGCTCAACTCGTTGTGAATGCGATCTTTGATAGTCTAAAAAGTCATCTTTATAAGGGTTTCTTCAAATATCACATTTTCATTAACTCTGTTAAAATGTCTGGATTTTTTCTTCTTTCTCTTCATTTTGTCCTTTATACTATTTTAAACTCTGCTTTTGTGTACAAGCTCCAAAGGGACTCATGCTAAATGCAATCAGAACAACAGATAAATATAAGCAAGTCCATTAGAAACAACAAGAGGCATATACATATGTTAGTCTGATTGCAATTAGCAAGAGCCCCTATGGAGTGAGTGCACAGTATAACCAGACGAATAAAATTTAGTGCCATTGTCTTACCGGTGCCCCGTGACTTCGCCTCCTCCATGAACTTGTCATGGATGTGAGATTTGTGTGTCTTCATGGTGAATATCAGTCCTATGAGGTAAGCTATGGGGAGCACCAGAGCACAGGCATACACCAGGGGGCGGATGTGATTGTCATATAGGGTGTGGTCCCCATTGAAACCAAACTGAAATATATATAACACAGTTGGTAGAGAGGTTATACAAATGTAGTACAGACTAACACTTGTCTCCATTCAAACCAAAATGGGTATGGTCTCCGTTCAAACCAAAATCAAACATAAGGCCATTTTTTTCTACAGTAGGGTACAGCGTACACTTATAAAAAATTGGAAAAATACAGCTGTGCAAAATGTTCTTGTTTCTTTCCACAAAAAAAAAAATTGACTCTCTGAGTCATGTCAGAAATGCTCTAATTTTGTGCAATATTTGCATAATTCTGGCTTGCCCTGCTATTTTTGCATTATTTATTTTATTATACCAGTAGTGTTCTTCAAAATGGCCGTGCAAATATAACACAGAATATGCTGTTTATTAAATATGGACTTACCACAGAGTATTCACAGTCCTGGCACTGCAGGGCGTAGGAAGTATTGGGAAGAACACTGGTGGTTCTGTTCGTATCGTACACACATTCACCACACTGAAGAGTGCCGTACGCCTTGGAGAAGATGGTGGGGGTGAAGGCACCTGTAGACAAGATTCTCAGTGTGAAAAATATACAATGTGATGTCCGATGTTAAAGTTTTATCTGAGATGCTAAATTGAAATATTTGCTGAAATAAATATGTAAGAATTGTTTCTTTCTGAGATGCTGATTGTATAGTTACTGGAAGAAATTATGTTCTTGTATGAAAACTGAAAAGCGGACTAACTAGACTGACCAGCAAATATGGCTGATGCACTTGAAATCTATTCTATTAGGGGATTAGACAGCAAGCTTTTAAACATTTAAAAGGGGCACCATATTTGATCCATGGAATAGTAAGTCCACTGTTGTGAATGCAGTCTTTAAAAATATATATGTCTGAAGTATAACTCACCTGCCACAGAGACAAAGAGTAAAGAAGAGCTGACTCCTACAGATCTGGGGTTGAACACCTGCAGGCGATGCTTCAGACCCCCAATTATCATACAGAGTCCCTGAATAACAGGATGAGAAACATGGGGACATTTATCAAAATGTAACTCATGGTGAGCCACAGCAAATGCTTTGAAAAAGATTACATATGAATTCTGATAAAGAGGACTTGACTCTCCTCTTTATATGTGTGTGTCCTATAATTAACTCTATCATGGTCTCTCAAAAATTAAAAAGAAAAACAGAATTTTAACATGAATTTCTTCAGGTATTTGCAAGGCTTTTAAAAAGAATAAGCAAGCAGGTCACATGGGCAAGATATTTGCACCATACTCACCGGCACTAATAACATGGTCCCCAACAGTGTACCTGGAACAATGGTGAAAAATACAGGTAAATCAAAGCAATTTACTAAAATTTTGGACTGCATAATACTGGCATTTAAGTATTAATCTTTATGTGGTTCTGGATTACTTTATATTTTCTCCCAATGAAAAAAATGGTTATCAAATTACAGACCAAAGTACTTAGAAGCAAATTGGCACGACTTTTTGTAATATGGGAAAGTTTATCATAACCATGTTCCCTTTTATTTTTATAATGAAGATAATACACGCAAGACAATACATATAGAAAAAAATTTTACCCACAAAGTTTACACACAAAGTTTACACACAAAGTTTACCCACAGTAAAATAAATGACTTAATAACACATTAATACAACATGGCACCCACCTGCCAGTGCAGACTTCACTAACTCTGAATAACATTTAGTATTTTCACTCTGTCTCCCCTTCACAAGAGCTACAGTATACAGGGAGATCTCTACTATGGAGCCAAATGTGGCATTGAGCAAGGCGCCCACAGCAAAGTTACTCTGGGCTGAGATACTGGGAAAAAACAACAAGAGAATGGCACATTGTATAAACACATGTAAAAAAAGGGGAGGTACTTCCTACCTGGTATGCTTAAACTACTCTAGCTCAACCATGAAAAAAATTAAGTGATTATCATGTGGTTATTATATAAGGAATTTTTGTACAAAATCTTTGTACTGAATAGGCAAATACCTGATTAAGGTATGAAATATTCATACTATATCAAAGAAACTGGTGTGTGCATATTTTGTACAAGCAAAAACCAATGCATTAAATGTGAATATATCAACACAATCACCTTAAATTATTGTCTCACAAATGCAACAAGCACCTCAAGACTAGCACCATACATGCTCTTCTACAAAAATATAACAAATTAGGTCAAAACCGCCCCCCCAACCCCTCCCAGTACACCTACCTAGTGATAGCCATTCCAATGTAATATGACAGAGGGATGAGGGCAAGGAACGACAAGATAAATTTCTGAAAGAAAACAGCACAATGTTTTTATCTGAATAAAAGTGAATAATTTTCATTACAATCTGTGACTTAAGTTCCTTCATTGAGGATTTGCTCAAAAGCAGTATTTCTGATCTATGAACATGTTTATTATTATAATTTTTTTATATTAAAATTCTCTCTGATGCTACACGTACCAGCAGCATGAAATTATTGTGCAATTAACAAGTCAACTGAAAGACCATTTAAATGACTTGTGTACAAAGGTGGAAACCTGCTGGGCTGGAAACTTTCTGATAATTACATAAACTGCAACATTAGATAAAATGACATTTTAAAGGTGAATCCAGTTTGGAGTATTAAATTTAAAATGCACAGTGTGTGTGTGTGTGTGTGTGTGTGTGTGTGTGTGTGTGCACACACATGCACACGTTTACTCACAGTAACATCCCCTGTGAGGTGGTTGTCTCTGTCAGCATACCCTAACACCAGAGAGAGGAGAACAAATACCAGTAGGTCTGAAAACCTGGGCTAAGGAGCTGAACCACCAATTAAACCAGTAAATAATTAACTTATAAAGGATCCATCTAAAGATGCAAAAATATGCTTCATTCTATCAATCTGTTTGTAAATCGAAAAGATGTGGAGTCAACCACTGATCCTGTAACCCATCTTGTGATAACAAATAAAAGAATATCGATACATGTAGAAGTAATACAAGTTGAATAAATTCTAGAATATAGCAAGTTCAAATACATCTTTTTGGTATTTGGATTTACAGACATTTTATTTACTATGATGCATATAATTAATCTTAATTTGTTTGAATCTTCAATACACTGGAAAAACAAAAAGATAAAACTGATAAAGGATACTGACTAAGATAACGTTCATGCCGTCAACTGTGTACTTGTAGTAATAAAAATTCACAGACTGGTGTGTGTAGATGATGATCTCACTGTCAGGACTCACTAGGCTCTGAAATAAATCATAACATAGGTTTTACTAACTGTTTATACCACGAAATAAAGCTTGATGTTAATTAAAAGCAACCGAAAATATCATATATACATATTCTCAATAAAATAAATGCAATAATACCTAGTAAAGAAGCAGTAACTCACCATGCTGGAAGTTTTGATTTGAACAGTGTCAGGAGGAAGAAACAGCATAACTCTTATGGCCTTGAGGTTTAACTAGAAAACCAGACCAAAAAAAACTTCATGATTAAAAGAAAATTCAGAAACACAGGCACAACTTCATTGTGGAAAGTATATCACAAATAAATAGGTAAATAACTATTTAAAGCAGAACCAGTTAAATGGAGAAACCACAAACAATTTATAAGTAACCTTAAAGACACTTTGTTTTTTTTTTTTGTTTTTTTTTTTTTTGTGCTTCACAAAATCAAAGTTTCTTTCTGGCAGTCAGTAACACATAATAGTTGGATGAAGATGATCAATGAGTTGCCTCTTAACTATCTAATATTAAGTTTTTGTCAGGATCTGATCGATTACTTTTCTTCTTCATTAGTTGATGCACCATAGTTCAACATAACTGATCAGATAGACAACATAATTTATCTAATAACTGATAAAATCATAAGACATACCTTAGCTACTGGGATGGTGATAACTAAGAACCAGGAGAGGAGGAACACCACTCCATGGACGATAAACAACAGTGGAAGACCCAGCACTAGCCATACATATGTCTGGGGATGTTTCTGAAAGCAAAATTATTAAATATTACTGATACTTGAATATCAGCCAAAGATACCTAGAACTTGCTAAAAATCAATAGAAGTTGTTTTGACTACAGCAAAAAGTTGTTTCTCAAAAAACTGCTACAGCATTGATAAATTTGGCTGGTCTTTATCTCCTTATAAGTCCTTATAATACATTCACACCTTCCTCGGAGTTCTTTAGGGGTATAAAATAAATCCTGTGAAAAGCAAAAAAAAAAAAAAATGCTTATGCAAATGTTACGTATTTTTGCCACATATCCATAAAAGTTCAACATACTAATACCTAGTAACCACTGAAATGATGATTCATATGACCACAAATTTTACCTTCCCAAAAACCATATAGCAACCATGCCTCACATGACCATATAAGGCTTACATACCCAGTAACCATAGCAACCATGCATCACATGACCATATAAGCTTAGGGCTTACATACCCAGTAATCATAGCTACCATTGCTCATATGACCATATAAGGCTTACATACCCAGTAACCATAGCTACTATGTTTAGTTCCCAGGCTGGGTGTTCCTGAGACTAGAGGCACCGTGTCACTGACAGTGTAATCCCTGTCCCTTGACTCTAGCAATGTGCCACTCTCCTATGAAAATAAAGATTATTTTACAAAATATAAATTTATATATAATATATATATTGAATTTTAAATATATGAACTGGATTAAAAATGAACTAGTCTTGTTTGTTTTCAATGGTACAATTACAAATCACATCTCAAACATTTATTTTGGCAACTGTTTTTTTACATTTAAAAAATGACAAAAACTATTACTTCTATCCTCTAATCTGCAGAGATTGTAAGAGTTATTACAGCTAAATGTACTGTGTATAAAATATAATAGGTAAAGCTGTTTAGGATGCCTTCTAGCTTCAATGACATGTCATAATCTTTAAATCAAGATGGTAAATTTCAGCACAATTCTCATTATGCATTGACAAGTAAATGTGCAGGTGCTTTAAAAAGGTTTCAGTCACATCTCATTTAGCTCTAGCAAATTCAGCATCGAATTAATTTCAATTTTTCCAAATGACCTAATGCCTTTTGATTAGTTTTTAAAAACAATCATAAAGCATTAAATTTTGATATTAATAATCAGACCTCAAGCATCTAAAGAAAACAGGCAGATGATTTTTATCCAATTTTACAATGAATCATAGCATAACCTAAAGCTTTTTCTTAAATTACTTCACATGTGTGTGACATAATCAAACCAGAGAGTAAAATCTGAATCAATGCTGATCAAGGAAAGCCAACCCCAGCAGTGCATCATGAAGCAAGAGGAACAAAATCCAGAGTAAACAACTTTACATTAAGTCTGATGACTCTAGGGAGTACCATTGAGACAAATTTCCCAAACGGCCAGAAAAAGTAACCAGCCATCTTCCAGCAGAAAAAAGCTAGAAAAGAAACAAACTCCAATTATACTTATTGTCCAATTATAAACAAAAATATAGTTGCTGTTATCATGACATGAAAGGTTCAATAAAATCAGACAAATCCAGCTGGGTAAATCTTTAAATTAAATTATAAATCCAATTAGTCAATCAAAGGAATCAACATTTCTCCAACATGTAGTTATTTAAAGACTTCACTTTAACTCACCATATTTTCTTCCTATGATAGTGAAGAGCATGAGGCACCCCACTATACAGTAAAGTAAGGCAATCCACCAGCCAAGTAAGATAACATACAGGAAATTAGAAGGTCTGTAAACTGATACTGAAATACAACATTTAGATTGCATTTTTCAACTGGTTACAAACTGTTTACTCAGGAAATTCAGGAGAAGGTTTAGATATCTAATTTGACAACATAACAGCCAGATTTCCCACACCAAATTCAGAGAAAATACCCAATTTGCGGAATATAAATTTCTTTCTTTCTATCACAAAAATTATGGTGAAGAAGAATGTGACTTGCTCAACTGTAGATTTGCAAGTTTATTTTGTATTGTATTGTATTGTATTGTATGGCATTGCATTGCGTTGCATTGGGTAGTGTTGTGTTGTAAATACTGTATCATGATTGAGAACATTAGGTACCTAATGCCTTACACAATGAACTAAAGGCTTAGAGAGGCTATGCTTCCTTCTGGGTAAGTACCACCAGCTGGATTAATCACCTCTATTTACAGAACTAAATCAAGACCACTCTACCTTGTGGTGGTGGCACCTTCTCCTGTTCTGCGTACAACTGTTTCACAATGTCAGATCTGTCTGCCAGAGGGCGTGCTGTCACATGACTTTTCCATTTCTTGAAACCAAACTGAAAAATGGAAAAATAATGTTTGGCTTTACCTCAGATGTATGTCACAAGCTTAATTCATATGTCATGAAAATGGCATCATTACTTTACCTCAGATGTATGTCACAAGCTTAATTCATATGTCATGAAAATGGCATCATTACTTTACCTCAGATGTATGTCACAAGCTTAATTCATATGTCATGAAAATGGCATCATTACTTTACCTCAGATGTATGTCACAAGCTTAATTCATATGTCATGAAAATGGCATCATTACTTTACCTCAGATGTATGTCACAAGCTTAATTCATATGTCATGAAAATGGCATCATTACTTTAGCTTGTTAAAAGATTTTAATAAAAGAATATTTCATAAAAATTTATTTGTTAACATAAAACCAAAATAACAGCAAATAGCCAATTTTCCATTCTGGAAAAAAAAAACACATTAAAATATTACATTGTTGATGATAATAAAAATAATACCATATAATTTTGCTGCATTCTCTGGGCTTCCACTTCATTCTCAGGTTTCTGTACAAACACGTACATTCCATCATCACCACTGCTGGTGCCATCTACAGCACCGTCCCATTCCCCAGACCGTAGATGGCGCTGTCGTAGGTTCTTATTTCTTTCCATACTAGATGTAAGGCCCACAGGTGGAGTTGATGGTTCTGGGCTTTGGCGACCTTGGTCTGAAATTTCTATACTTTGGTCCACTGCTCCCGGGCCATAGTTTTGTGTTTGGTTACTCAAAAGAGTAGTCGTCTCATCAGCCCCTTTATCCATTTTACCTGAAAAATATAGATAACTACATTAACAAAAAAGACACCTCAAAACCTGAAAAATTTGCCATATCTTACCTTTGCATAGATATCAAACTATACCATACATATTGTTATTCTTTGACAAAAATTAATCATCATACTCATCATCATTGTTTTCAGTTTTTCAAATCAGACATACAAATATAAAATGTCTCAGGTAATGTTGATAGGCTCAATCAGGTGCTGGGAAAATATATACAAACCCCAGTGTATGTGTACAAAAAAATTTTTTTTTAAATATATCGCATATCACTTCCAGTCATCAAAGCCAACCTTTCCCCAGTAAATGTCCCACTCACACGCGTATTTCATTTTCTTGCCCAGGGCAAATACTAATCAGTACACTACTGTACTTGGATCCTTCTCCTTAGACCACCGACAAATATCCTAAATCTTCATATCAGCCTGGAAGCTACAGTCACATGTCTTGCTGCCCGTGTCTTTCTCTCCATGCTTCAAACTTTCACTATCACTAAATGACTAATGACTCACACTATAATTCATGTGCTTTTCACAAGTACAGAGAAAGTGTACCAGGTACATGTGACTTAATTATTTTACTGAAGATTATATAATTTCTGGTTTCCACAGCTAATGGTGAGATCAATGAGCAAGCATTTTTAATCTGATACCTCACTTCAGTTGATTTCTGGGGGGGGGGGGGGGGGGGTCCTGATATATTGTCATGATGGACACAGTCAATAACCAAATCCATTCCGACCTCCTATTCTCGTAGTCTCCTGCATAATAGAGTTTGAAACCTATTCTGGGAGAGTTGCAATACTTCGATCTACCCATGGATCTACACACTCTTAGGCAACATCAATTCAGTATTTTCTCGTGTTAATAATTATTCCGTAGTTAATCAAATGCTAGACAACATAACTAGCACATGTACCTGAAAAAGTACAATGTATACTCCGAGTTCTGACGTGTTGGCAGAACTACGTATAACAATTCAAATTATATCAAAGTTGACATTAAAATTAAAGAATTGATGAAACTTTACCAGGGCGAAATATACATTTACGAGCCTCTCTCTCTCTCTCTCTCTCACACACACACACACACACACACACACACACACGACCCAGGCTTGGTCAGATTTTTATACAGAAATATTACAGTTCTACACAAGTTCTCCACACCAGTAAAATTCTTTACTCTATGCAAACAGATGCACACTACAGTATATTAACTACAATATACATGTACAGTCACAGTACAGTTAAGTACAGCATGTACAACTGTGTTTACGGTGCAGTCACAAGTTTTCGAACTACTTTACCCGTGGTCGCAGGCTCGAGATTTCCACACAAAGAATTTACCCCAACATTTCTGTGCACTGCATTACAATTACAGAATCACACTACCTGTAGATCACAAAATATTTGACAAAACTTTTGTTCTACACGGAGCTCTACCTACTTACCCTAGTTGTTTACCTGGTGCCGCGGAGGAGAGAAGTCACATGACGATTATTCTTCTCAAATCTCAACTAACACAATGGCGACCTGGGTCGACAAAAGAGGGCAGCGTTTATATAATTTTACAGTGATCAAACATATTAACGAAGTACTTAATTAAATTATATGTGAGTAATTATTTATGTAAATTTGATGCTTATTTATTTGCTGTTTATCGGGCTTATGCCCATAGTTGTACATATGTAGGCCTACCTTTTATATGTAGGCCCTACGTCGCACATGTATAGGGGCCTATTACAGTAGTTCCTACATGAAATAAAAAATCCGAATCATAAATACAGGTATATCCTTTAATTTTCTTATGATACAGATGCAGAATGGGATTCGACCAAGTGAATTCCAATACAGATTTCTTTCAATTCTAAAAAGTATAACCTTAAAAATATATTTCTAGACATTTTAACAATGGTAGTCCTGTACCAAGCATGTTGTGCCCTTGGCGTCCCACGATTGCATAAGTTGGTGTAGTTTGGAGGTCGAGATGACGGTGTCACGAGCTGAGGAAGCCCATTCAGTCGATCTTATTCAGTCACTATATGAAGCGACATCTATAGGCAGATGAAGCAGATGGGATTATAAAAAATTCTAATGATCCCCTCCTATGTCAGTGGTGGATTTAGATGGGGGAGGGGAGAGGGGGGTCCTGACCCCCCTTCGGTTTCTGCCCCCCCCCCCCCCCCCCCCCCC